CTGTTTTGCTTTTGCATCTTGTTTTACTTTAGCGGTAAGTTGTAGGTGTTGAAAAACCTTATTTGTGGCTATTTTCTGTAATGTCCATAGGTTGCTTGCACGTTCTGCAGTGCTTACGCCATGACTCTTTTTCGCTCCTGATTTGCTTTTGGTATTGCGCTAGTCCTTCCTGTATCGTACCAACTTAATTATTTTCTGTTCTTCATCATTCTCCGCTTGCACCTGCCTTCTTAAGGCTCGTATTTTGCTTCTTCTTTGCTTGAGGTGGTTGCTCACCTCAAGCAAGAACAACCTACTGAGGAGCTTCCTGAGCAAGTCGAATCTATGTCAGCTGAACATCAACATCCAATTAATAAACTGAAATCCCGTTCTGCATTCGGTGGTCATCTTCGAACAGAGAAGTTCGAAAATATTTCGGGCCATCTGGATATTTGTGAATTTCTTGAATCAATAAGGTACGCTTTCATTAACATAGTTTCTACCGAAGTCAGAAAAAGTGAACTGAAAATTAACTCTATGCTTTTGTGTGAATACTCTAAAATAACTGATGAGGGTATAATTACCGAAGAAAAAAACTTCAAAACGAAAAACTCTATAGTTTTATCTGAAACGGACTTGAATAAACTGTACGATAACTCGATGGACAAATTACGGGCAGAAGCAAGTGAGTTTCAGGAGAAAGAATCAGGGTGGACTTTAAACGCAATTACAGCGCTGGAACTTCGTATGAACAAGTATGTTCCGCTACGTGGTTCAACGTATATTGAGCTGTCAAAAACAATGATAATCAGTGCTTTAAATAGGCGGTATTATCTGCTTTATATCCCGCTCATGAAAATGCTCATAGTACTGCACATTATGAAACTTTTTTCAATGAACTGGACTTTTCCAATATTAAATTTTCTACACCTCTAAAGGAGTTGTTCTTAACCAGGGGTGCGGGAATGTATTTTTGGGGGTGCGGGAGAAGCCCCTACCTAACCATAAAAATTATTAAGTTCATTTATTATTTCTTATAATAAATATTTGAAATGTGCATAGTGTCACCAATATTGAAGCTCAGAATTGGTGCACCTAGCTCACTTATCGCAAAGCACAGGAAAGATTTACACTACGCTACGAAAAACATGAAACGCTACAAACGAAAGCGAACAGGCTGAAAAAAAAACTTTGTGGGATACAACGGAACGTTATCCCAGCTTGCGCATGTGCTACCTCCAAGGAATCTACGGATTCATAGATTTGTATCTGCATCTCTGCGCCTGGTTTTAGTAGTCAAGTTGAGTCAACTATTGTGTCTGCGACATGTGTATTGTGTATCTGACTTGTCCCGAAACCTCTTGAGACTAATACATTCTTAATTGCTCGTTCAAGCCGAATAGAAGTCAGTGATTTACAAACGTAAGAACATTATATATATATTTACATTATTTCTAAATATTAAATCGATTATCGTGAACCCCACTATGTCAAAAAAGTGACAATGAACGATAACTTCCGGTGATGGTGTACAACGAAAAAGATGGCACGCACGACCGCAATGCATCTTGTGTTCCAAGATATTTTCAAACAACAATCTCAAACCATCAAAGTTATTAGAGCATTTCACAATCTGCATGGTGGCGAAAAGCGCATAGCATGAACAGCTTGAAGCCAAAGAAGGCTCGGTTTGATACCAGTGGAATTATCCTAAAATTGTGAGGACCAGCATTCAAAACCTTTATTAGAACGTCATATTTATGTGAAAAAAAAAAAAGCTCCAAAGAAAAAAGAAACCTCACAAGATCGCTAAAGAGTTGATTAAACCTTCTGCTTTAATTATGCTAAAACAGTTTTAGATTCGGAAGCACATAAAAAAATCCAACAGACTCCATTATCGAATGATATTATACGATCGTGAATACAAGATCTCGGTGAAGATATTTTAATGCAAGTAATTGAAGACACACGAAAATCAGTCCACTAAAAATAAGCATGCAACTGGATGAGTCAACTGATGTTTGATAATTATAGCCAACTTTTGGTATTTGTCAGGTATGTGAAGGAAAAAGAGGTGATAGAAGAATTTCTATTTTGTGAGCCACTGGAGCTGAATCCGAGAGAAATTGATGTTTTCAATCGCATCAAAGATTTTTTTACTAAATATCAATTACCAATGAATGTGTTTGGCTCAATATGCACTGATGGAGCCCCAGCAATGTTAGGCAAAAATTCAGGATTTTTTCCATATCTGAAAAAAGAATTATAAGAAGTTATAATATCGCATTGCATGCTGCATCGTCATGCACTTGCGTCGAAAGCATTGACAGAAAGTTTAAAACAACATCTAACTACAGCAGTAAATGTTGTAAAATACATCCGAGGGCGAGCGCTTAATCATCGCATTTTTCGCGCATTTTGCGAAGAAATCGGTGCTGATCATACCGTGCTCCTATATCACACCGAAATACGATGGTTATCTAAGGGTCGCATGCTTAACTCGGTTTTTGAATTCCGTGAGAAAATTATTCAATTACTGACTAGTCAAAAACTGTTATTTACTAAAATTTTTAAAGTAATGATGCAATGCTGAGGCTGGCCTACTTACAGACATATTTATCCATTTAAATGAATGAATCTATCAATGCAAGATTTGGTATAAATATAATATATCTAGAAAACTATCTTCATTTATCGCAAAATTAGAAATTTGATACTCGAGTAGAAAAGGGAATTTTTCAAACTTTCCCTGCTCGATTCTGTTATTGCGAAAAATTAAAAAAATACTACACTGACTCCATAAGTATTGTAGGAAACATCGGCTTTAGTAGCATCCAATCCCCATTTCGGAGCTCTCTGATTTCAAGAAGGTAAATTACGGGTATCACAAATGTGTGGTGTAGTAATTAGGCAAAGCCTCGAGGCTATCTGCCTAAGAGGAGGGATGCCTTCGTGGAGGACTTTCAAAGGGAAACTGGCTCGTGTACACGTTCACATGGGAAAACCACGAAAACGACCATGCAGCCAGCCCGTTCGCGATTCGAACCTCGGACCGAACTACCAGTGTTCAGCGACGTTACCGCTCGGCCGCTGGTGGGCCGGGTATCACAAATGTGGCCAATCCTTAAGGGACAAATCTAGCAATCTGAAGTACCCAAAATCGACAGTGGCCTGTGTGATTAAGAAGTGGAAGGTGAGCGGTGATTGTCGGAATGTGCCCCGAGTCGGCAGACCAACGAAACTGGGAGATAGAGACCGACGAGTGCTGTCCAGAGAAATTCGGAAGAACCGCACCCAACCGATGGCCCTCATCCGCGAGGAGTTTCAACAGGCATCCGGGAGTATTGTTTCAATGAATACCATCCGTAAGGAAGCACATCTGCTTGGTTTTCATGGTCGTGCTGCTGCCCATAAGCCTTTGATCACAAAGTCCAACCGCGCTGCTCGGTTAATGTGGTGCAAAGCACATCAAAATTGGACCGTAGATCAGTGGAAACGGGTTCTTTGGAGTGACGAATCAAGGTTCACCCTTTACCGTTCGGATGGCAGGGTCTGGGTCTGGCGTCTACCTGGAGAACGTCTCCTGCCAGAATGCATTGTGCCAACAGTCAAGTTCGGCGGAGGTGGAATTATGGTCTGGGGGTGTTTCTCCTGGTATGGGCTGGGACCCTTGGTCCCATTCATGGTAAGCTCAACTCCGATGCCTACTGCACTATTTTGGATGACAATGTGCTTCCTACGTTGTGGCAGTTTTACGGGTTGGACCCCTGTTATTTTCAGGACGACAATGCCAGTTGTCATGTTTCGACGTTAACCAAGGCTTGGTATGGTGCCAATGGAGTTCATTGGACTGGCCTGCCCAGAGTCCCAGACCTGAACCCTATCGAGAACCTCTGGGACGAGTTGCATCGCCGAATTCAGGGTGCACTACCCGTGCAAATCGGTGAAGGAACTTCTATGTCTTCTCCCAAGCCGAGTGGAAGAAATACCACTAGCTGGTCATACAAAGACTTGTGAAAGTATGCCCCGGAGGTCCACGCTGTAATTACCTCTCGTGGAGACTCCTACCAACTATGATTTTGAATAAGTTTAGTTTTTCTTTTTCTATCACAGTGTCCAATACTTTTGGTAGTCAGTGTATTATACCCACATTGTAGACTTTGAGAAGATGAGCGAGTCATTGAATGGATATTTTTCTAACCGAAATTCACAAAACTCACGATGAATACTGGCTCCATTGCTATTTGACTTAAATTTGATGGATGATAGTTATCTGAAAAATGATCACTTATTGAAATGCGAGCAAGTGGACTTGTTCAAATGGAATTCGCACAATTAGAATTGCAACAATTCTGGTGTTCACGTACAACTTATACAGAGTTGCGAAAGGAGCACGGCAGTTACTCTTAACCCTTTGCTACCACCTACTTGCGAATGGGATTTCAATCGCTTGCATATAAAACTAAAGCGAGAAAGCGCTTAAAATGCAATGATGACTTCGCGTATGTCGTTCAAAAAAGGAACCCGCTTCTCCAGTATAATAAGAACAAACACAACAGACTGTCATTAATTCAATGTATGTTTGTATTTATATAAAAAGTACACTTTTGTCAATAACAAAGTTTCGCAAAAAAATGTATTTTTCAACTAAAAAATAAACCCATTTTTCAATCAATGGGATTCTGGGGCGACCCCAGAAGTTAGAAACCTGCTCTAAGATCTACGGAATTCGAACTCAAAATGATGTTTCAATAATGTTTTCGGACTGACTGAAAAATGTGTTTTGTTTCGCTGCTCATTACAGATGAGCAAGGATAGCATGTTAACTTACTGTATTTAAAGAATTCAAAAACCTCTCTTACTGTTGGATTAAAAATATATCTCGACTTGTATCTAGACAATTATCTAACCATCAACATGAACAGTATATTTGCCATCATTGTTTGCAGTGTTTTTCAACTGAAACTGTTTTAAGAAATCACAAAGAATACTGCAGGAATCATGAAGCTGTCAGAATCAAAATGCCACAGGGCAACTGGCTGAGATTTAAAAATGAGCAAAATTCGTTATATATTCCTTTTGTTGTGTATGCCGATTTTGAGTGTATTTCAAAGCCAACTGAGTCCTGTCAACCTACCTCAGAAGCATCATACAGTGAAGTATACCAAAAACATGAACCTTACAACTTCTGTTACTACATCTGCGAAGCACATGGATTTTATAAGCCGCCTGTAGTGTACAGGGGCCCAAATGCAGAAAATGTATTTATAAAAAAAATCATGAAAGAGGCAGAAGACATATATGAGATATATCAGAAGCCAAAACCCATGAGTGCTTTAAGCGAAGAGCAAATACGCAAATATGAGCATGCAGCCATTTGCTATTTGTGTGGTGATGAATTTACGGTTGCAAACTGGAAAGTACATGATCACTGCCATTTGACTGGAGCCTACAGAGGACCTGCACATAATCAGTGCAATATAAAGCTCAAAGTGCCGCACTTTTTACCTGTGATATTTCACAACTTGTCAGGATACGATGCGCATCTTTTTATTAAAGAGTTAGCCATTGATGACAGAAATCTGAATGTCATTGCTGAAAATACAGAAAAATATATTTCATTTAGCAAGAAGGTGAAGGGACGATTCAGTGTCCGATTTTTGGATTCCTTCCGCTTTATGGCTAGCAGCATCGAAAAATTATCGGGAAACCTAACGCCTGAACAGTTCGTTCATATTAATTCTTCATTTTCAAAGAGCCAAGCTGCATTGCTTTTACGGAAAGGAGTTTTCCCATATGATTACATAAGTGATATTAATAAATTAGAGGAAACGTGCCTTCCAGCTAAAGAGGCTTTTTATAGCCATTTAAATGAAGAAAGTATCTCAGGAACGGAATATGAACACGCAAAAAATGTATGGAATGAATTTAATATTCAGACTCTTGGGGAGTATTCGGACTTGTATGTAGAAATAGATTTTTTATTGTTGACGGATATTTTTGAAAATTTCCGAGAAGTTTGTATGGAAACATATCATTTAGATCCAGCATGGTACTACACTAGCCCGGGACTTTCTTGGGATGCAATGCTGAAAGTTACAAAAACTGAAATTGAACTTCTAACGGATTATGATATGTTTCTAATGGTTGAAAAAGGAATTAGAGGAGGCATATCTCAGTGCTCTAACAGGTATGCTGTTGCAAACAACAAATATATGTTTGAATATGATGCAGCTTTGCCGTCCAAATACCTTCTATATTTAGACGCAAATAATTTGTATGGTTTGAGCTATGAGCCAACCTTTGCCACTCCAAAATTTCAAGTGGGTCGAATCTCACAATACAATATTGATATCACTAAAGTACCCAGTAATAGTTCTATTGGGTATATAATTGAAGTAGATTTAGAATATCCGGAACAACTGCACAATATTCATTCGGATTTGCCTTTAACATCAGAAACCCGTGCTCCTCCCGGATGCAAAGAAAACAGATTTTTAACAACTTTGAACAACAAAACGAAATATGTGGTGCATTACAAAAATTTAAAAGATTACTTAGGAAAAGGATTAAAAATTACAAAAATACATAGAATTTTGCAGTTTGAGCAAAGTTGCTGGTTGAAGCCATATATTGAATTGAACACTGAAAAACGAATTAAGGCCAAAAATGAATTCGAAAAAAATTTCTTTAAACTGATGAATAATGTAATATTTGGCAAAACGATGGAAAATAACAGACGTCGTGTTGATATAAAACTGTGTAATAATGGAAAAAAAAAGCCGAAAAACTAATTTCAAGTCGAATTTTTAGGATAGGTCTATTTTTCTGAGAATTTTGTAGCTTTTCATATGGGAAAAACCATTCTTACTCTAAACCTATTCTCCATTACTATTGGGATGTCTATTTTAGTCATTTCCAAGTCTTTAATGTATACCTTTCACTATGATACTATGAAAGCAAAATATAAATCTAACATAGAGCTTCTGTATACAGATACGGATAGTTTTATATATAGCATTCAAACTGAGGATGTTTATAGGGATATGAAAAATCAAATAGACCTATACGATACTTCAGATTACCCTACCAATAATGTGTATAAAATGCCGTGTGTGAATAAAAATGTGATAGGTAAAATGAAGGATGAAAATAAAGGAAAGATTATGACTGAATTTGTAGGATTATGTTCGAAAATGTACGCTTTCAGAGTAGAAGGCAAAAATGTCTTTAAAAGATCGAAAGAAATTAAAAAAGTCACTTTAAAGAAAAAAATTTCCTTTGACGATTACAAAAGGTGCCTTTTCGAACATAAGAATGTGTTAACTTCAATGAACTTAATAAAATTCAAGAATCATGAACTTTTCTCTGTGAAAATGAACAAGCTTGCACTTTCACCATATGATAAAAAGAGATATATATTGGATAACAGAATAAATGCACTGACATTTGGACATTATAAAATTAGTTACTACGGTCCAATTTTGATGTGCTGTGCACCACATTAACCGAGTAGCGCGGTTGGACTTTGTGATCAAAGGCTTATGGGCAGCGGCACGACCATGAAAACCAAGCAGATGTGCTGTCTTACGGATGGTATTCCATTTAAAATACTCCCGGATGCCTTTGAAACTCCTCGCGGATGAGGGCCATCGGTTGGGTGGGGGTTTTCCGAATTCTCTGGACAAGCACTCGTCGATCTCTATCTCCAGTTTCGTTGGTCTGCCGACTCGGGGAACATTCCGACAATCACCGCTCACTTTCCACTTCTTAATCACATAGGCCACTGTCGATTTTGGGTACTTCAGATCGCTAGATATGTCCCTTAAGGATCGGCCACATTTGTGATACCGATAATTATACCTTTCTCGAAATCAGAGACTCCGAACTGCGAGGCATCTTGCATGCTACTAAAGCCGATGCTGTTTCCTACAAATACTGTTCGTAAACGCATGTACGCTTTCAGAGAGAGGTAAAGATGTCTTTAAAAAGATTGAAAGGAATGAAAAAAGTTATTTAATAAATCGTAAACTCTACTGATTCGCCCTCGGACGAGTTAGAAAAATGCTTTCGTGCATGACTTGCAATAGAACATAAACATTGATCAGTGCATATTGTTCAACTTCATGCGATTGAAAAATCAATTAAAAAAAAAGAAATCGGAGAAGTCATGCAGTGGACTGATTTCTTCAATGCATGAGACGCGATGATACAAGTTGTGGATTTTTATGTGCCCGTGTAAATAATTAAAAGAGCTATATAATATTGGAATTGCACCACAGAATTCTTTGGCTTCAAATATGCAAAAGATTGTTGGCATTTGATGGACATATATGCAAACATAATTATAAACGATTCAATGTTCTACGAATATCTGCAGGCTTGAATTACTCAAGAATCAGAATACACAATACACGTATGACTCAACTTGACTCAGGCGCAGTAGATGCAGATACAAATCTATGAATCCGTAGATCCATTGGAGTGCACATGCGCAAGCTGGGATCGTTCTCGCTTGTATTCCCACAGTTTTTTCTTTCTAGTGTTCGCTTTCGTTTGTAGGTTTCATGCTTTTCGTAGCGTAGTGTATACCTCTTTCTTGTGTCCTCTGCCGATAAGTGAGCTGTGCTATTTTATGAGCTTCAATATTGGGGACACTATTGACATTTCAAACTTATTATAGAATTTTAATAAGATATTTAATAATTTTATGGTTAGGTAGGGGCTTCTCCCGCACCCCCAAAAATACATTCCCGCACCCATAGGGGTGTGGGCACCCCCGGTTAAGAACCACTGATCTAAGGTAATAATCTTTTTTTTTTCTCTCTAATATATGTCCCAGAATATTCATTGAATATGTATTGAATATCACAGTCAGATTAATCTTTTCAAAACTGAAAAATTTTGTTCTAGTGAAAAAAAGAATGAGTATTCGCATTTTGTATATAAGCTTGATCAAGAAATATTATTACTTAAAATGTATCTATGAGATGAAAACGTTTATTTTATTGTAAATAAGTATGCAAATGTATTTACTTCCCATTTATTTTGTGTATATATAATGTCTCAGGTTACCTATAAATATTTTAAGTGAATACCTATTAAAATACTATAGTCAGATTATCCTTCTCAAACTTAAACCGCTATTCTAATGAAGAGAAAAAAAAATGAGTATATCATTTTGTAGATAAGTTTGATCAAGAAATATTGCTTTTTAAAATGTATTTGTGAGAGAAAATTGTCTATATTATTGTCATTAAGGGCGCAAATGTATGTGTTTTGTGTATGTAATGTCTCAGGTTATCTATACATATTTTAACTGAATATGCATTGAATATGTATATAACATTACAATCCGATTATATTTGAACTGAATTTGGTTATGTAATGAAGAGAAAAAAAATGTGTATTCGGATTTTATGTATAAGTTTAATCAAGAAAATTAATTTTTAAAATATATTTATGTGAGAAAAATGTCTATTTTATTGCCAACAAGTACACAAATGTATTTATTTCCCATTTATCTTGTGTAAATGTCTCAGGCTATCTGTAAGTATTTTAACTGAATAGGCATTGAATATATATTAGATATTACAGTGATATTATCCTTCGCAAATTGAAATTTGTTTTTTAGTGAGGAAAATGAATGAATATTCATATTTTTGTATGAATTTAATCAAAAAAACAAAAAAAAAAAAAAAAAACCATTACCCTTTTAATAAATATATTTGTTTTTCAATATGTTTTGCAATTTTTTTTAGTTAAGTATAAAACAGAATTTATCTTTACTTTATTTTCTATAAATAGACTTCTCAGAGTAAAAAGATATTCATTTGATATGGAGTTCCCATATTTGAAACACCTTTTCTCGATGATAATTAGCGGTCCATCTAGTTCCGGCAAAACGTGTTTTGTTAAGAAAATAATAGATGAAAAAATCATGAAACCATTTCCTCGTAAAGTTATTTGGTGCTATGGAGCATATCAAAAACTGTTTGATGAAATATGGTGGTGTATTTAATTACGGCAAAGCACACTAGGGCTATCTGCCAAAGGGGAGGGATGCCTTTCGTGGAGAACTTTCTAAGGAAAACTGGCTCGTATACACGTTACACATGGGGAAAACCACGAAAACACCCATGCAGCCAGCCGTTCGCGGGATTCAAACTCGATGTGTTCATTTATCGGCCGCTGGTGGGCCGTTTGATGAAATAACTGGTGTAGAATTTTATGATGGGTTGCCCTCAGATATCAATCGAATATCTCATGCACTTATTATTATTGATGATCTTATGTCTGAATTAGGAGATGATTCTATACTATCAAAATTATTTACTAAAAAAAGCCATCACAGGAATTTGTCCGTTATTTTTATAGTACAAAATATGTTTCATAAGGGTAAAGAAATGAGAAATATTTCTCTAAACGCTTCCTATTTGTGCTGTTTCAAAAATATAAGAGATAAAATTACAAGTTCAATGTTTAGCAAGGCAGATGTATCCAGGTCAAACGAAGTTTTTTCAGGAAAGTTTTTACGACGCAACTAGTGTACCTTATGGTTATCTTTTCATAGATTTAAAGCCGGAAACAGATGAAAAAAGTTCACTTACGTACGGGTATTTTCCCTGGTGATAAAAACTTCGCGTATGTTCCGCGGAGATCAGTTTGACTTTAAAACATCACGATGCTTGCCGTTATTGACTTTCGAAGGATTTCAACTCAGACCAGACTGTTTTATTATTAAAGAATTAGCGTTTCAAGGTATTCTAGATTCCTACTCTGGTCACTGGACATTTCTGCCTCCCAAGCCATGGAAAAAGCTCAGCAGAAAGCAGAAAATCGTTTTTTCATGGGTGGAACGCAATATACATGGAATGCTATGGAGTTCTGGTGAATTTCCTTACGAAAACCTTCAAGCCATTCTACGTTATTTACTAGATTTATTAGATCGCTATCATACAGTATTTTTAAAAGGATCTGAAAAATGTAAAGTTTTAGAACAACTGACAAATCATGAAATTTTAAATCTTGATAACTTTTGTTGCCCCAAGATGAATAATTTACCGCCAGATCCCGTTAAACGCAGATTTCATTCTCCAAATCACTCGCACTGTGGTTTATTCAAGGCAACCAGTTTTGCAAAATTTATTTCAAATATATACCAGTGACTTCAGGTATATGATATCATTTTCCGTCAGCCAACGTGTGCAGATCGACACTTACATGAATTAGAGCTATTATCTAAAAGCAAAAGAAAAGCAAACATTCTTCGAAACTGTACAAATCCTCTAATTAAAGCTGTCTGTGAGTGCGTTATTAATTTATTGCAAGGAAACATTCCTTTGACTAAAAACCAGAAACAAAATCTTGAAAGAAAAGCAAACATTCTTCAAAACTGTACAAATCCTCTAATTAAAGCTGTCTTGCGTTACATTCCTTTGACTAAAAACCAGACACAAAACCTTGCGCCTTACAAGAAAGAACTGCGTCAGTTAGCGAAGAGAAAAATTCCGTTGTACAAAAAGCGTCATCTTCTGATTCAAAAGGGCGAAGGGTTTTTAAGTTTTATTATTCCTGCAGCAATAACCTCTCTATCCTCGTTATTCAACGGAACACGCTAGAAAACTCATCCTAGTTCCTGCAGATGGGCATTTTGAGCATGAACAACGTTTAGCAGATAATCATTTATCGGATTTGGACAAACAAATGAAATCAGTCCTCAAAATATCTAATTTAAACGACAGTGAAAAGGTTACTCTTTATACACAAGCGTTACAAAAATTCGTCGCTTATCTTATACCTGAGACTGTACTGAAAGTAAATAAAACAAGTAGCACAGAGAAAGAAGTTTATAAGGTTGAAGAAAAAAGGAATTAAAAGAGAAAGTTTTAGAGGATAAACCTGATATTTCTTTAGACATTTTAAACTCGGCCCCCGTTACTGGAAAAAAATTTGGTTAAAGATATTCTTCACTTTCTTCAGCAGCATAGGATAAACTCTCTTGGAATGCATCGAAAGAGTTGATAGTACATGGAAAAGTTGTAACAGGTACCAACATCGTTGAACTAGTTAACGACTTGCTTCGAAGCAGAAGAAAAGCTTCTCGGGGTCGTTTTGTGTTCAATGATATTTTAAAAGATATAAAATTTCCTTTGAAGTATGTTAAAAATATCTACTTTAACAACCCTGGTAAGATGTTGCAACCTAAGCATGTAAAAGAGATTGTATGCAAGAAAAATAATTGGCTTTCATATTAAAACGGATTTTAACTTATACTTTTTCTTTTTTCTTTTGTTTTGTAATGACAAATGTTTTAATGACAAATGACTTCAGAAAATAGAAATCAAATTACCTTTATTTATATCAAAAGAAAATAATAATAAGTCGAAAATCACCTTTCATTTATTACAAAAGTTTAAGTAATAGAGAACAAAATAGCCTCTTTTTTAGGAATAAAATTTTACTTTACAAAGTCCAAAACCAGCTCAAGTAATATAATTTTATAATGCAGAACCCAATAGATTTCTCTAAACATAAGCTAGTCTTTAAAAGAAGAAAATCACCTTTTATTTATTGAAAGAATTTTATTTTTAAAGGTCGAAAAACTCTTTTTTGTCTGATATGAAACTTTAATTTTAAAAGAGCAAAATTAACTTTATATTTAAAAACTTAAATTTCATAAATGAAAAATGACCTTACATTTTACTTGATATCGTTGTTCAATTCATAAATATCAGGACGATCTTTTTTTTTTCATTAATTAAAAATTGTTAATTACGAAACTTGTTCAATACATATATTGGTTACAACTTTATTTAAGAGAAAAAATAAGGAAAGAAAGAAATCAATGCCAGGAAGAGGGGAGGAGGAGAAATGTGTTGATTTTGAAGTGTTTATGAAGTTTTTAATTCAATAATAAATACAAGTTGTGAATATAAATAAAGCATTTTATTTTCTAAAAATCATTTTGATACCATAAGTTTTACGAAAAATATTATACAACTGAAAATCATTTTTCTTCTTGAAATATTCTACAATAGAGTCCATTGAGTAACCTCTACATCTCTTGAGTACATAATAGACGGAGTACTGTCCACAGACATTTGATGTGGGGCTTTGAAGCGTTTTTGTGTTCCATTCCACAAAGTGAAATTGCTTAACATATGAGGCAATGTTATCGCCATAGAACTCGGGTGACATGCCATACGAATCGAAAAATTCTAGAGTATGCTTGTCTTTCAATGATATCGCAAGCCAGTGAGAACCTTCTTTCCCATGTGGATCTGTATTCACAATGAGGCATGCTTCATTCTTAGAGGGAAATACTCCCATAAATTTCCCAGCTGCATCTCTATCTTCAGATACAATTCGTTGTATCTGAGAAGCATACATTAATTCCCGAAATCAAATAAAATATTTCTAGCTTTGTTGATTTCAATCAGATTTTCGAATTCAGGGTAAACTATAACAAAAAACAGTTTGTTCTAAAATCTTAGAGAATTTTACTTCCAGTCTCAGGTTACTATGCCGTACGAGGTTCAAATGTTCACCGTTGCATAGATCAGGAGATAAATCATAGACAAAGAAAGAGTAACCATTAGCATATTCACTTCTCGAGAGATAATGTCCTCTTTCTTCGCCAGAAAGAAATAAACTTTGATAGGCACGAATAAATGTATTATTCTCAAAATTAGGCTCCAGAGGGTGGTAAGGAACAGGTTGCCCATCCATGTAAACTGATATGAAATTCATATGATAATGTTTGAACTCAAAAGGAGACTTTTTATATGTACCGTTGAGCGCGTCATTATCCACGAAAGCAAGAACTAATCGTTTGGGCATTTGACCTGCGAAGATATTATCTTGTACAAAAGACATATTACCTTGAGGAATGGAATAAATTTTACACAACACTCTGTTAATTGGGTATTTCGCACTTGTTTTCTCAAGGCTTTTGGCGTGAGCCAGCGTCACTGCTGGATTCACACGAACCTTTCTCACAAAAAGGGAAGCATGCTGGATAAGAATCTTGTAACTGTTTTCGCCCATTAAGCAGAACTCCGGTTTACTTCTTATAAGTTTCAATTTTAAATCTACCAGATTGAGCATCAGTCTTTCTTGATGGAATAGATCAACGTGAAGTCTCCCAATCATATCAACTGTTTCACTCTTTTTGATAAAATCAGCTCGTTTAGTAAAACCTTCGTTAGGATTCGGGTCACTAGGGTCAAATATACGTTCATTTTTCCAGCTGTGTCTTTGAAAAAGAGCTCAGCAGAAAGCTGTGAAGTCTTCTCATCATAGTTATGATTAAGCAGTTTTTCAAGGATTGCGCGGTAAGGGTAAGTATTGTTGCTTGAAGAAATCAGTCTTTCGTTTAAAGTAACGTCCACCTGAGAGAATAAAGAATGCATGAAAAGATTTACTGGCCCCACTTTTTCTCCTTCTTTCAATAAGGATCCATCACTCATAACAACTTTCACTTTGAGAAAAAGCTGTGTTTGGGAAAGATCTAAATAATCTTCTCCAGTGCCAGACACATGAAATTCAATTGGACCTCCATCGGAAGCATTTGAAAGCGGATGAAACTGTACCCATTGTCCTCTTTCTATGACTGTTTGTGTAGGGGGTAAAGTGAATAAATTTAGTTCCGATTTAGCACATTCAGGTGAATCTTTCAATAAAAATGCCATCGTTACAAATCAAAAACGTCACGTCTTTTCTTTGCTCTGGCTTTTGAAGGAATGAAATGTTTCATTTGCTTCCTCTTTCTTTTATTTATTTTACCATGCTCCAGCATGCCATCTGCTTTTTTAATAGCTTTTCTTGCTAAATTCTTGCCCGCTTCTTTGGCTCTTTCTTCAGCAGATGTCGATAATTTTTTACCGGCTAAAACGTCACTAGCAATCATTGTTCCAGTTCGCAATGCTTCTTTTCCAATTGCTTTGGCACCTTTCATTACAAAAGGCAGTGCAGTTCGAAAGGCTTTACGAAACCATCCGCCAATCCCATAACCTTTCTGAAACGAAACTCCTTTATAATAAGGAGCACCACTGCCAATTTGATTGATGTAATGATCTTCGAACTTTTTTGGACAACAGGTATATGGAACGAGCATGATGCTTCTTCAAAAATATCCTGTTAACAAATGACTTTGGGGTATAAATGCAATATATTTTATAAGATCTGTCGCATTCTAAAATGCAAAACGACTATGACTCTCCCTCTTTCAAAAGGAACTAGATCTCCAAAGTGCAACCTGAGAGCTAATTCAATAGTCTGAAAATCTTGTCGAATAACTGGCATATAATGAGGGCGAACATAATGGGCATTTACTACCTCTCCATCTTTGCCTTCTACTTTTACGATTTTCAGGAGGGGGCTTGTATATCTCCTACAATTTGTGGCTCAACCAAATCACAATAAATATACATGAGTGGAAAAGATGACGAAGGATCAGCGATAAAAGGGCTTTCTGTAATGCCTTTGTATTCGCCGGGTTCGAAGCCTAGTAATTCAGAAATTCCTTTGTATAGGATAACTTTAGCTTCATTTTCTGTTTTGATTTTGACTCTTTTTGTCACTGGATGGTACTGAAACTCAATTTTATTTTTGTGAGATGCTAAAGTCATGGCTTTCAGAAGTTCGGGTATAGTTTCATAACATCCTGGAGGAACATGCCTACCCAAGAGTTTACCATTTCCCAAGTCAAAGCCGAATAAATTGCTACCTTTCCTAACATTATACCAAGAATGCGGGTATAATAAATCCACTAGCGCCAGTTCCCATTCTCCAGTGGCTAAATGTACTGGAGAAGGTAGCTGAGTTGTAAAATGTGAAATTTTATTTTCGGGGAAGAATTGCTTAGAGCTATCACTCACTAGCGTCACATAGAAAGACATCTTAGAGAATGATACTGAAAACTGATTTTGCGACACTTATATGAATTTGACGTCGGTGACCCAAGCATTAAATTTATCTGGATAATCTTGAAATTTCACAAAATATTCCATTTTCCCATTTCTTTTCCTCTTTTGTAAAACCTTTTCTACGGGATAATATCCTGAGTCAGTAATTTTTTGAAGTTCTTGTTTATAAAATGTGCCTTTGATCACTTCTCCTGCTAAATCTTTCAATTTATAAACCACAGGATCTCTGAGAACAATCTGATGTATAGTAAAAATTTCTCTTGTAAAAGTTTTTTCATATCCTTTAACTTAAAAGTTGATGTTTTTCAAACATCAACTTTTCCTTGATGACACGAACAGTATCTCCAACTTTAAACTCTGAATCTAATATTTTCCTTACTGTTAGATTTCCGTAGAGATTATTCCATACTTGTTTTTGATTTGCAACATTTACGCAAGCTGGTTCCATTCTGATACTACGATGCCAAGTGTTATTATAGCTATGCACTAGTTTGCCGATAACATCAATGTATCTGTTAGTATTCATTTCAGTAAAATATTTCCACATTTTCGTTTTTAAGGTTCTGTTAAACCGTTCAACAACTGACGCTTTTGTATTGTTATGTGTGGTAAAAAAAAAAAATGTACTTTCTTTCTCTTTAAATAATCCTGGAAACTTTTATTTGTAAACTCTTTTCCAGCATCAGTTTGAAGCTTCTTTGGAGTTCGCTCAGAAAATATTTTTTTGAAAGCTGACACAATTGTTTGGGCTTTCTTATCTTTCAACGGTATGGCCCAGGCATATTTTGATAAAATATCAATGCACGTTAACAGATACCTGTAGCCGTCGTTAAATTGAGCTAAAGTTTGCATATCTACCAAGTCTGACTGAAATTGTTTGTTTATACCACTAACGATCACTCTGTTTCTTTGAAACTTCCGTTTCAAAGGTTTGTGCAAGGTATAAGAATCTTTCGTTTTTAGCCAGTTCTTTATATCTTTAAAACTATAACGTCCTTCTAATGCACGATGCAAAGCATTAATTCCACGGATACTGGCAGGATGTTCTGAATTTCTATATGTATTTTCCAAACTCATGATAACACAGTGTATTTTTGTTTATTACATGCAATTAGATTATGACAAAAAAATCAACTTCTCGCATGAAGCAAAAATTACAAAATGACATATAATGGGAAAATAAAAAACATTTATTTAAGCAATTCTTTCTTACAAACGCCAAGGATTAGGATCCGAGGCTACATACAGCTCTTTAGCATTTTTTAACAGTACGTCAAAGTCCAGCTTTTTTACAAAAGATTCATTAATATAATTGGATATGTGAATATTTTGTTGCACAAAATCAGCAGCTACAGTTTTTAAGTCCATTCGACATAAAGCTAGTTCTGCATATCGAATAATTCTTAAATCATACGTTAAGGTGACACAGTCGTGACCGAGTTGATTTTCATATCCTTCAGCACAGCCATCACATTCAAAAACTTCTTCGATCATTTCAGCTAAGCAGTTTTTGAGTAGTTCGATCATAGAAGTTGTTAACAGAATTTCAACATCATTCAACGGTTAGATCACTAGCACAAGGTGCTTGCTTGGCAGCTTCCTTTAAGATTAATTTTGGAAAATTCTTCCAAATTTGAGTGTAATAACGTTAGAAGTGATTTCATTGCGTAAGTTGCGTCATTGCTTTAGTGTATCCCACTCATTTTCAGTAAGCAAGCATACGGATGGTAAAAAATGCCGTGTAAAATCCTTGTGTTGAAAATAACACTGCATTGAGATATGGAGTTTGTCTTCAATGACTACAGTTGAAAGCATCAATGCATCTCGTATGGCCATTTGACCATAGGCGAGAAAATATGTTAGATGAATCAAAGTCCAGAGATTGCCAGACGAAAGGCTTCAGTGTGATTCCTTTCTTAGTAGGCACTAAATTTCCATTGCCAAGAGATCTGTACTGTCTAAGATAAATGCGGATCACATCACCAAAGTCCGAAACAACGGCGTACTTTTCATTTCCCAAATGAAAATTCCAAGTTCCAAGTTCCTCTTTTAAGCCGCAATTAGCACGCAGTAATTACGTGCTGTGTTCCGGCTGTCTTGATTTAGATGCTACTAAGAGCGCTGCAGGTGGGGAAATGCTTGAGCTGGGCGGTGCAGGAAGCTGAGATGTAGAAAGGGGTGTGACCAAAGTCACGTGAGCTCTGAGATGACATCTGATTGGTGTTGAAGTATTTGTCAAAAAATAACATATATAGAATACAAGAAAAATATAAAATAAAGTGCAGAATAAATAGTTGAAAAACAATATGCTAGGTTAAATATAGATTATATACATATGTACATAGTATCAGGAAGGCTTGATTGCATGAAAAATACATCTGAATAGCGGTGTGCACAGGTCACGTGGGACGCCACCATCCCAAGTGCTGGCTTTGATGAATTCTGCTTCGTTTTGGACTTAGAGTTCCAATAGTCGCTAAATGAAATAGATAGCAACTACGTAGGAAAATTCCGATTGCTATTCAGGATAAAAGCAGCAAAAGGACGGAGATGTCTGTCTTTGTCTAAGATTTCGTAATGAAATAGATTAAATAAATTGAGATGTTCACAGTCTTTAGCTTTCCTGAAGAACTTGTCATTTGTTTTGCGTAAGAAAGTATCTAGTGGCTCGATTTTTAAGTCTCTGTGGAGTACTTCATTCCGCACAAAGTAATGGGCACTGGTTATCAGTCTTAGAAAACGATTTTGTACAACCTGAAGCTTGTTTAAGTCAGTTTTAGTCACAGTAGTCCAAGCTGGTGAGGCATACTTCATGATAGGACGAATAGTTGAGAGATAGATTAATCTCTTTTTGGTGAGATCAAGTTTTGAAAAGCGTTCTAACATAGGATACAAGCATTTCATTACATAGATGGCTTTATTTCTCACATTATTAATGTGGTTAGTCCATGTCATTTTACTATTCAGGGTAACTCCTAAGTACTTAGCATGTTTTACAACAGGTATGGGTTCATTAAACAATAGGAGTTGCCTCTTGAGGTTCTTTTTATTTTTCTTTTTTCTGATGATGAGTAGTTGAGACTTGGATGCATTAATTTGTACTTTCCACTTTTTGCACCAGTCTTCTATGAAAGGGATGTGGTCTTGGAGTTTTTTAACTGCATGATTCACATTTGCAGATTTCACCGCCAAAGCAGTGTCGTCTGCGTAACAAGCTAAAATTGA